GAGGCAAAAAGACATTGAGAACTTCAGCCTTTTCTGCATCGTCTGTCACAAAGCTGCCACTCCCATTCAGTAAGGGACCCACACTTTCCCTCATCCTCCTCTTGCTACCAACATACTTGTAGAAACCCTTCACATCCCTTGCTAGCTGCAGCTCCAATTGTGCTTTGGCCTTCCTGACTTCATCCCTGCATGCCTGAGCAATGCTCTTATATTCCTCCCTACTTATTTGTCCAAGTTTCCACTTCTTAGAAGCTTCTTTTTTGTGACTCGGTTTACTGAAGAGTTCCCTGCTAAGCCAAGCTGGTTTTCTGCCATACTTGCTAGTCTTCCTGTGCATCAGGATGGTTACTTCCTGCACTCTCAGTAAGGCTTCTTTGAAGTACAGCCAGCTCTCCTGGACTCCTCTCCCACTCAGTCCGACTCCCCAGGGGATACAGCCCATGAGCTAAAATCTGCTTTTCTGAAGTCCAGGGTCCTTACTCTGCAGCTGTCCATCCTTCCTTTCCTCAGGATCCTGAACTCTGTCATCTCATGGTCATTGCTGTCCAAGTTACTGTCTGCTACCACATGCTCCACCAATTCTTCCCTGTTTGTGAGCAGCAGATCAAGAAGAGCAAGGCCCCTAGTCAGCTACTCTAGCACTTGGATCAGGAAGTTGTCCCCAACACTCTCCAAAAACTTCCAGTTCTGACCTATTAGGATATACTAAGATACATTAAGGAGAACTCTCCATGAAGATTATTGTTTTTAACCGCATTGCTTTTGGAGGATATACAAAACAATTAATGGTCCAGAAACTAAACAGCAACTTCTAAATAAAACCATTGTGTGTGCAATGACTGAACCACATCACTTCTCCATAACGCGGCCATCAGTGTTCCTTGCTGTTTTGCTGCAGACATGCACCAGGGGCCGTCATTTTGCTATTAGCTTCTGAAATACCCTTGTATATCTGGAATGCTGTACAAACTAACACAACATAAAGATATTTTCCTTCAGAGCATTTATGTAGATAAGAGTCACTACATAACAGATTATTTTACAGGCCTGACTATAGGTAAGCTCGATGCAGAGTTAAAGTTGTATCTGTTGCGTTTTGGAGTACGCTTCCAAAGCCTTCTTTTAAAAGTAGAACAGCAAGAATGCCTTTACTTTTTGGACTCAAATTTATTATAAATTCATTATGTATACCAGACTGTTTAGATCTGTATCTTATTGCAAATAAAGACAATAGCCCAGAAAGTATTTTAAAAAGAAACTTTGGTTGGCAATTTATCTAAGATTACTACACCACACTATAATCCAAGTAAATTAATACAACACTGCATATTTCATACCCAAATTTCATAGTTTTATAGTTTCTAGGGTCGGAAGGGACCTGAGCAGATCATTTAGTCCGACCCCCTGCCATGGCAGGAAGAGCACTGGGGTCAAATGACCCCAGTAAGGTGGTCATCCAACCTCCTCTTAAAAACCCCCAGGGTGGGAGCCTGCACCACCTCACTTGGAAGCTGGTTCCAGACTCTAGCTGCCCTGACCGTGAAGTAGCGCCTCCTGATGTCCAACTTAAACCTTCCCTCCGCCAGCTTGTGACC